ATGATTGTTTCCACCATTGCGCGATACCCAGAGCAATCCACGGCGCTATAGGCGTTTGAAAGCTATAGACGTACAACACCCGGATGGATGCCTCATCGACCGGAACAGGCCTCGCACCACCATGTTGATCCCACCAGACCTCGACGCGGCGACACGAGCCCTCCCCGCCACCGATGTTGTCTTCTGTCCGGTTTTAATTGATCGGGAGCGACACGAGATGTCTAATCTCTATACGTTTTCCAAGTCTCTGTTTCTTAGTATTGTAGCTGTCCCATGATAAAAACCGTTCTTTTTTTTTTCGCTGTTCTTCTGCTCGCTCTTAGGAGCACCTAGATGATACTAACGATACGCTTTATGCGTGCAGTCATACCCAGCCCTGCTACTGCGAGGCGAGTCCGAAGCCTGGTCTGATGCAAGGACGTCGCATTGCGGCTTTCTACGTCAGTCCTCTCTTCAGAAATGTCGCCAGCAACGGGACGTCTTTTCTCATTGAGTAGCAGGCTTTATGCATGCGCTCGAGGAAGAAAGACTGGCCTATTGGAGCAAAGGTAAAATCATGTATGAGCTTCAAGAGGCCCTAACAGGCGTTTCACTCGATTAGAGCTGGTCTGCTTGGATATGAGCAGGATTAGAAAGACTGGATGGTGGATCACAACAATATCAAGATCATTGCCAGCAAGATCGATAGGCTATCAAAGCAGACGCTTTCAAAGGCAGAAGTACTCCAAATAGCGCCAGGCTAATAATGCTCGAGTTATAACATAGGAAACCCACCGTCTCCGACTCCATCAGACGCTCATCACAGCCTACGACATGACTGCATCTGCTACCATGCTCTACAACTCCTTCTTCGTCTCCATGACGGTCTCATTCTGCGCCCTGCTGATGAGGTCCTTCGCAACCGCCGCGCTCTCCCTCCAGCTCCTCTGGCGCTGCCAGAATCTGATCTCGGCAGTACTATCCCTGAGACTGCCCTGCCTAGCTTCTTCTTCGAGACTTTTCCTAGTAATCTCGCCACCCTTCTCACTCAACCTGGGCATGTTCTGCAGCTGGCTGAGGTTCTCCTCAAAGTATTGCTTGCGTACCAGGAAGCGTTCACGACGTTCCTTCTGTAGGCCAGGAGAATCGAGTCTGGACAATACCTCGCGAACGCCCCAGCGGAAGAAGATGAAGAGGTGCTCGGAGAAGAAGACAGTTAGGAGGAGGGCCCATAGCTGAATGTTGGAAGGACTGCCGCTGGGTCCAGTGCGGTCGTTCCAGAACATGTAGACGAGAGCGGATGTAGTGAGGCTGCCCATCCAAGTGAGGAAGGAGAGAGAGTCCAGCCAGGGGCCAATGGTATCAGCGCGCCATGGGGTCGGACGTCTCATCTCAACACAGATCTTCATAGCATCGGCACGAAGCTCGATCCAGTCGTTGATAAGGAAGGAAACAGCGGTAAGTGGCCAAACCACGGAGAAGAGAGACAGGTAACCAAATTGCACGACCATCTCACGAAGGTCGGCGGTAACATCGTAGACGTCGAGTTCAGCCTCCTTACGGACACGGTCAAGGAAGGCAGCGTCCTCAGCTGGGTCATTTTCGGTAGCAGCTGGAGCGGAACCACCGTTCTTTGCAGCCCTGTCGGATTGCATTTCCTTGTACTTAGCAAGACCACGACGCTTGAGGTAAGGAACGATAAGCTCCATGCCAAGGTTGACGACCTGGGCGGTGACTGTAAAGTATATGACTTGCTTGCGAAGACGGTCAGGGTTGATGCTCCAGCTAGAGCTTGTCGAGTTGAGGTGTAGCTGCTTCTCGTCTTCGGCGAAGGGTCGCACAGCAACATTGAAAACGTCAAGGTAGGGTACAATGACCTTGCCAAAGGGTACATAGACGAAGGCAGTCAGGAAGATTCCCAAGTACGACATGATGAAGTTCATGACAAAGATCTTCTGAGTCAATGCTTTCTCGTACGCACCCGCGGTCTCGTAATTCTCGAACTGGGTGAGGCGTGTAGCGGCTTGCGTTAGGAGGGTGTTCAGAATAGGGTTGACGGTTGTGAGAATGCCAGTGGGAATGAATACCTGGCGGAAATTAGTTGCATTCGGATATGTAGGTCTGGAGTGATACTTACGAGAACGCTCTTGAGCGGCCCATTGTAGACCTCAGAGATGAAGACCTCAATGCCAAAGCAGGTCGCAATGACAGCTCCGAGGGAACAAGCCGCGATGATAGCGAACGGGATCTGCAGCAACTGCCTCTGGAAGCGCTTGGATGCCGGGAAGAAGCCAACCTGCTCGCCAGTGACCGGGTCGGTGATGGTCTTTTCAGGTGCAAAGTCCTTCTTCCTGACATCGATCTTGGAGACGCCCTTGACGCCCCAGCGAACGCTCAGGTCCACCTCCTGTTGTTTCCAGTATTCGGTGAAGACGGTGCACCACAGGGCGCTCGCGAGGCCGTAGATGGGGGAAAAGGAGCCGAAGAAGAGCCAGGAGAAGAAGCCGAAGCCGGCAGCGGGGATGAGGAAGGTAAAGTAGGACTGTGTGAAGGCGAAGTAGAAGGCAATCTGGGCAGGTTAGCTTATAGCCTCAGGGGCGATGTTGTGGAGACTTACCTTCTCCCCCAGACGGTTTCTGATATCATCCAAGTCCTCGGTAGTCAGGAAGTACTGCGAGGTCCACTTCTTGATCCAGTCCTTGTTGTAGGCGTGGTCGTGCAGCGCAAAGACGGATTCGACATTCTCCCACTCTCCCTCCTTGGGTGTGATGCCAGCGCCGCCTTCGGACGGAGGGTTGGTAATGAGCTGGTATATTATACGCAGTCTCTCGGCCTCGTAGAGGGGCTCTGCTTCGAGCGATTCGCGCGTAACCTTTTCGGGGGCAGCCGTTCGGACACCGTGGATCCAGTCGCGGACTCTGTGCGCGGTTTAGCCACGGTCCTTCCTAGACGCAGTAGCGGCTTGCATACCTGGACCTGTACACCTCGCCAAACAGGTGCTCGTCGGAAGCGACCCTCACGAAGAGCAGGATTGAGTGCGACTCGCCATTGCGCACCTCCGTCTGCAGCCCGACGTTTGCGAGCGCCTCACAAAGCTTCTCGAACTGCGCAATGGCCTTTGTCTTGTCCGTCTTTGCAAAGCGGTAGCTGATCACGTAGTCGACGTCCAGGTTGCTCTGCAGCGCCTGTGATTTGGCCATGTCTGACGACGTGCCCGAGGTCAGCAGGGCAATTTTGATGCGGTAGATGGACCAGGCGAGGTTGGTGAAGTAAGGGATGGCAGCGTCGGTGCTCGTCCCCTCCTTCTGGGTCGACATGCCCAGCAAAGTTGTAAATGGGGGTTGGCCAAGCTACCGGAAGCCAAAACGTCATCGTCGCCTGCATCCCCGCCTGCGCCATCCCTGCACCACATCACTGAATCTTGCACCAGACATAACCAAACAAGATCTCTGCCCATGCGACGACGTATGTCATGCTGCAGCTCCGCATTCCTTCAACTGGAAAAATTGTATAGACGATTACTGCACCAGAACCTGTAAGAACAATACATCTATTGGTGTGTTAGCGAGCACGCACGCTAGACAGGGAGAAGTGTACTGTAGCCTTTGCCAGTACAGCCTGGCGAACGTCTATCTCTACCGTCGAACTAAGTATACCAGTCTTTGTGCTATGAATTTCAGTATAGCCCCTTCGCTGGTACGAATGAACGGCGTGCTCAAGGTCAATGATCGACTCACATGGCTTCTTGCCGCAAGAGGTCATCTTTAACTGCAACACGGGTAGCAAGATGGCCGTTCTACTGAGTGATCTGATAGGAATCCTGTGGACTTTTGGGATTGCAGTCGAATGCCTACCTATGTCTAGACTATAATTATGTTCCGTCGATGCTCGTGCTCACGAAGCAGGAGTTTCGACATCTTCTCGTGCAGTCCGCACAGAATATCGATCAGTCGATCAACACATGCATCGTATTGAAGTTAGCACATGGTACCCCTGATTCTCTGACTTCCAGATGTCGCCAAGTACTTTTCGGTGAATTTTGTGATACTGTATTTATTGTAAAGATATGGTGAACTGGCTGCTGTCCCTTTCCGCGAGGCCATGTTTGCTGCCTTGGGTGTTTGTATGAGAACCACACCTCTCGATGCCTCGCTTGGGACGGCGTCTGATAGTCAAATTGTCCTCAACTAAACGATCTGTCGGATTGACGCCCTTTGGGCTACCCGGTGATCCCTTGCATGAACAGCGACAGTAAAGCGCATACCAGTACCCCTATCCAAAAAAAAGAGGCGGTTCTTGGACGAATAAGACAGACAACCACTTGACCGGAGGGGCGTATTCCATGGTGTTTGGAGCTTGTTGCATAACACTGCATGCACTATTTTCGACCACCAGCCGCATCCGCCCACGTTGATATGCAAGGCCGGTGTTCGTGTTTGCTTGTGGGAGGTTCCCGCTGTAACGGGCAGATATAGGCGAGTCTGCCTTGTGAGGCAGCCTTAGGCAAACTTCAGGCTTTCAGGCACTCATGCACGGAATTTACCCCTCCTTCGTGGGACGACGTTCACAAAGAGGGGTATTCAGGAATTTTGCTCTGATGTATAATTACTAGGTATTTGATTGCTCTGAAACTAGTAAGTGAAACTTACTGTCTTTGCCAGTCATAAACGTATGGAGAAGAGTGAAAAAGGAACAAGAAATGACCAGCTATCATCGACCTAAGAAGTCTCTAGCTGAACTTGGAGAACTGCATGCAAATACCCACCCAACCGCTTTATCCAATATAGAGCCATGCAGAACAGGGGGTATCGTCGTGCGTATGCAGAAGCGACCCGTAAAATGAGGATATCGAACCACCAACGCCCATGATGACACCACCTCCCAAAGCATACAGATAGCACCACCCAATCAACGCCTGAAATCATATCGTTAAACGTATCGAATTGATGGATTACGACGACCCCATCAACTGGTCCACCCGTGAAGCACACTGCGCCTTTGTAGAAACTAGCCGCGCCCCGCTATTTTTGATGTATTCCCTTAGAAGTATAGTCCCATCGGCGATTGATAGCTCCCATAGTGGCCTTGAGTATTCCTGTGCCGGTGAGCTCAGCGTTCCCGTCACCAGTGAAAGGCACCGTGTCGACAATGTCCCGAGGAACTCCCAAGCCCTGGCTCTGCGCTATTTTGATAAGGCCATCATCGAGTTGCATGAGATGCTCCCTCGCACCAGGTTCCTTGCCAACCTGGAAAAATTGGATGCCAAGTTGGTGTGGTTTTGCATCCTCATGGTCGAGCTTCCTGGCGGCGTTGATGATGGGAGTTTCAAGATCATCGGATGGCACACCATCAGTGATGACGATGATGTTCATGGGCTTGATACTATTGTCGAGCATGAATCGCTCGAGATAGGACTTGAGAATCTTGTTCAGGCGCTGACCGGTCGGTGTTGCACCCCTGGGACGCACTGTCTGAAAGATCTCGATGACGGTACTCGCCGATGTGACGTTCTTGTAAATGCTAGAATCGGGGTGGTTGAGGAAGTAGATGTCGATTCCGTCTGCATCACGCTTGGTGCAGATCGGTGCAATCACTTCAAGAGCCTTGCCAGTCTCCTTCCAAGAGCGGCCGGCCATGGATCCAGAATCATCGATGAGAAAGACTGTATCGAAGCTTCGAAGGAAGTCATAGGGATCGTCTTCTTCGATATCGGTAGTCGGGGCTGGGTATACTGCGGGGGCATTCTGAGCTGGGCCTGGTGTATACGCCGGCGGGGCATCGCGGTTAGAACTAAAGGGATTCATGCTTGAGCTGTCTGGCAAAAGGTCAGCTTCAGGAAGAGCAATCGTAAAGTGTATGTATTATGTGGGGTAGTGCTTACTGGGCCTTCGTGTAGCAGGTGACGCCGAGTCAAACGGGCCAGGGTATGAGAACGGTGCAAGGCCACTGTCGCGGGATGCAGAGTTTCTCTTGTTCACCGGTGCACCTGTAGGCGCATTACCAAGCATCTGTCCAGCGCCTTCTATGTCCCGTGGGCTATAGCTATTGGTCGACTTGGACGCCTTGCGTGTCGAAAAGGTCTTCTTCAATTTGCCAAACATACTTCCAGACTTTGGTGATAATGGGTAGTGTTGAATGCAGGGAGTGACAGCGTAGGATAGAGAGTTGGCGTTGTCGAAATACTGAACGGTGGCAAGTGAGACAGACATTGGAGCAGTGGCCAACGTTAAAGTGAGTCAGAGCAAACGGTAAGCACAGGTGAAAGCTGGTTTGCGCAGGTTACCAGTGTCCTGATGGAAGGGACGTGTTGTTCCATGGTTCAGGTGAATCTATATACTATTCACAACCCACAATGCGAAAAGTGTATATGCGCCTTGTGTGTGCCTTACGATCGGCCTTGGCCATCGATGGATTGGGAATGGAAGAAATATCCGGTAGTCGCGACCAGAAGCTGTGCTGTGCAGAAAGAAACTCAGGCTGATTGCTCAGCCACCATGGGTCCGAGGGTAGGCCCAATCACGCCTCTTGCATAGCCGAGCCAGCCTTTCACGAGTCGGCTCACAAGCATTTACCGTTCAAAGAACGAACCACGAGTAAAAGACTTGAGAATTTAAGGGTGCAATGAACCATTGCACTTAGTCCAAAGAACATGCGTCACAAGGGTGCAGGCACTGACTGGGTTAACAAAGCGGGTTAGACTTTCTCTATCCAGCGCCTCAAACGGGAGTATCCTTCCTTCCTTCCAGGATCTCGCGTGTTATTGAGGTCTCAAGGCAGACACAAAACCTCATATTCCTCTAGCTTTGCGATCCCTAGATTCTATGCGGCGCCTACAATATCGCGTGGCTACGGCACAGGATTCCTAGCAAAGATTCTGTCCTAGCGTCGAACACATGATCGAGGCGTTTTGAGACCATAGCTGTATGAGGCTCAAAGGTCTCAAAAGCTGCCTTGATGGTGTACTGTCTTCTTAATACACGTCCCTCGCTGTCCAGTCACGCTCCACAGCCATGAAAAGATCTCTGACCGCCACATGCCTGCTGAGACAGCTACTTGGTGTCCTCTGATGACTCTTACGCGCGACGGCAGTAGTAAGCGCCCGATTACCCGTTAAAGACTTTGGGTGAGCCCACATGACCGGTCGCTTGGCTAGCTGCCAGGCATACTCACTGCGGTGGTTGTTCCAACATTCCGCGCAGATTCCAATGTCGAGACTACCTGTATCGAGGCTGAGCTGATTTTGTATAAGGTCAAGAAGTGGGAGTATGCGTCCGCGCAGTCCGCAATGTCCGTGATTGCTATCGACCTGGTAATTGGAACACTGGCGAAGTGATGACAGAAGTCGATCGATGTCTCCAAGGTAGTACGTCGGCTCTGTATTATCGTAGATTTTGCCTTGCAACCGTACAGTATCGATCTTGGAGAAGAAGCGAACCATCTCTCCTAGCTGAAACGAGTCGCATTGTAGCGATGTATCGTACCAGAGCTTGCATTGGCGTTCGCCAGACGTGTACAGCTTGAGGAAGTGAGCCTGTACAGAGTTGATGGTCTCCAGTATGTACTCTCGTCTCTGTATCAGCTCGTCTTCGACGCCGTTTGGTATGTCCCACCACAAGGCTTTTGTGTGATCCTCCTCTGTCCCCGGTCGCCACTGGACCGAGTCGCGTATGATCAGATGCTTCGAGTACCGCGTTACCCACGATGGATGATCGAAGAGGAGACCGACGAAGAGCTTCTGCCGTATCCTTTCTTCCGTTTGCGCTGGGGCTGGCTTGCCTCTCGACCTGGCATCGATGAGCTGCAGGTATTTTTTCCTTTGTATGTGCTTCGACAAGCCCGCAACAGCATCGAATCGGTCGGCTACGACGGCGAGATTGGCGAGGTTGGCTATGGGCGGGTTCGTGACGGCAAGATCGAGGCCATGGATGGCGCGGAGGAAGTCTGCAACCAGGTTGCGGATCGAAGAGGCTTTGGCAACGGCTACACGACCGACGTTGACGATGGCTATGTGAGGAAGCACGTGGGCAGGCGCATCTGCAATCTTGCTATAGCTACTCAAGGCAAGTGCTTCCAAAGCGGCCGTCAGCCGCTGCCCTTCGTTGAAGCGGTCACTCAGCAGATTCTCAAAGTACCGCGAGTTCTGCTGCAGGGTCTTGGAGTCTACGCGATACGAGAAGCGCTGTCCGCCCTCTTCCTGGGCGACATCGAGGATGAGGTCGCCATCCGCCGCGATGACTAACGCATCCTCGTCGTCCGACATGGTTTAGGATTGGTGCTGTGAGGTCTCAAGGCGGATTTCCTCATGGGTAGGGCCAGAACATTATGACTCGATGGGATGGCAATTCGCTTTTCGTGTGTTGGGTGAGGAAGAAATTGGGAGAGAGTGAGGTCACAGCCCGCCCGCAGCTGAAGGCTGAGCGGCGGCCGCTGCGGAAACAGCCAATGAGCGGAGACTTGCCAGCTACGCCCAGTGGCGTTGGGCCGACAGCTAGGCGGCCTCTACACCACTTCACACCGCAAGCAGACCATCACCATCCATCGCCATTTGCACTGCCGCTGCTTAGCTAGAGTCCCTAAGCAGGCTATTCTCTCGTTGTGGCGCGAAAGCTTTGGAGCACGTGACCTACATCCCATGAGGTAAGATATCATCACACTGTCAATCATCATCAAGGCAAACTTGTAGTCAAAAGAAATGTTGATTTGAGCAACGTAACAACTCCACGCTGAATGCATATGCCGGGTATCCTATGCGAAATGGCCACTGATCTGACGCCCCCAAACCCATTACAAAAGAGATAGTAGCATGAGGAATACACCCCAGCCACACTGAGACCCAGTAACCGGAATCATGGTCCAACTGCCTCCGCGACGTGGTGGACCTTCGTGTGTTGGCAGCGGCCAGCCACTTGTGCTTGTCTAGCACTTTCGGGAAGGAAGCTTCATCCTCATCCACTCATCGCCGACAATGGCATGACCCACGCGTGACTCAAAGAACAGACGTTGCTTCTGTGCGCGTTGGACGTAGGTAAGACGACGCCTGTGTACCCTGCCCTTCTTGTCGCGTGTGTATTCGTACTTTTCTTCTCCCTGTACAGTCGTTAGTATGACGTTGTATCAAGACAAAGATTAGAGGGGCACTTACGATAAGGGCCCAGAGGGACTGCTCTTCCGGGTTCATGTTGCAGTGGTAGGCTGGCTTGGGAAGGGGCTTCTCGCCGCTGAGCCGGCTGTAGATGCTGTCGACACTGGAGCGGACGGACAACATGGTGAAGTGTGTAGTGGCTTTGAAGTGGGTCTCGAAGTGGTGGCTGGAACGCTCGCCGCGGACGGCTTGGGTGTACGTTACCGGACGAGCTCGAGGTCGTGGTTGTAGTTGAGGTATACAGGAGTGTGAAGTTGCAAAGGCATGAAGGAGGGACGGGTGAGTAGTTTTATGCGGGTGAGATTGTGCTGCACAGTGTTTGCAGCGCGAACCGTAGTTCGCTACGTTTGTTGAAAAAAAGCGGTGATTTTAATCGCGCAAATCGGTAAGCGGTACCGGCTTTGTGAGGACCGTGGACCACACGATGCAGCCAACACATGCGCAAGGGATTCGTGGGGATTATATGTGAGTCGGCCAGCAGTGGAACGGAAACAGGTAAGCCTGGGGGCATCATGGGACACCCACGGGGCTCCCAGGTTAGTTGCGCCAACCGCGATAGGCGGGCAGTGAGATGTTCCAAGCCGCATGCCCAGCGCGGCCAGTCCAAAACGCATCTCCAACACTCTGACCTAACCCAACCACGAAGCTGCCGATCGAGTACAGATTGCACAACCAGCGGCCAGAGATTGCATCACAATAGTGCGCTTATCTTGGCGCGTCCCGCTACGCAACGTCGTTGCGCGGCGCCCAGAAACGCGGAGGCTTGTCGCAAAAAAGCGGCGGGCTACGACGACTTATATAGAGGACCGCGCACTGAATGTGAGGCGCAAGAGAGGATCTTCATGTCCAAGACTCTTGGCTGTGATCTACAGGTGAGGATGCGTGTAACGTGGAGCCAGATCGGGGCTTGGAGCTTGCGTGTGGGAGAGAGATCTGCGGAGGCTGGCGCACGAAAGGTTAGAACGAAGCGCCATCCCGCGTTCATCACAGAGCCTCCACGACGCATCAGTTCGGCCTGCGGCCTCTTCCATCACCCTTTACCCCACGGAGTCATTGGTTCTAACTGGTATGGGATGATGGTTTAAACCTTACTGTCCCAATTCAACGTGTCGCTTACCCAAACAATCAGCTTCTAATCTCCCTGTCCTGCAGCGTCCAAAAGTAACCTCTCCCAAGATTGCATGGCACGTCGTGATCGGCTTCTGGCTGTCACACGCGGCTTCCAAAGGTTGGCGCTAGTGCTTCGTGGTGACAAGGAGTGATGTGACGGCAAGTGTTGACCCCTATCATACGCTTCCGTGCACTGTTGTACCTGGAGAACCATAGGGGCAAGCGCACTGCATATTAATGGCTCTTGGCACTCTTAATGAACTACGACGCGATAGTCGTTATACACACACTCGCTGGAAACGTCGCAAGCATCGAGACCATGCCCTTCCCCCTACCTTAGTGTTCTGTACATGCGCTGTTCGTATTACACATGGAAAGTCACGACTACAGAGTGACTTCTCAATCACCGAAACCGCTTGCGACATCGGAGTCCTTGCAAACGGGCTGAAAAGAGCATTCACTGTCCATGTTGCTGAAGCGTCAGGGCGTTGTAAATAATAGGCAGTCGTAGAGCGATGCTCGGCACAAGGCGGCCGACGTCGGAGGGGTTGC